TTTTTTTTTTTTTTTTTTTGCATTAGTTTGAGTGGGAGTTGAGTTTTGTATTAAAATGATGTTTAAAATAAAATAATTAATTGATTTGATGTAAAAAGAGAAGGAGAGGTGATTGTAAACTATGGTTGTTAAAATTATATGAGTGAGTGAATAATAAATTAAAGTTGACGTGATGTGTGAAGATAATTGATAGATATTATTTAATGTTAAATTTGAGTTGAGCTAAATTTGAGTTACAATAGCATCTACATACTGCCTAGATTCTTGGTATTTCTGCCCAAATCTTCGATGCCATTCAAATGTGATCGTCAAATTGATATCTATTAATATATAATAAGAATTAACTTAATTCACTTTTAGTAATCTTTTCCCGCCAAAAACATTAATTATTGCTTAAATATAGTAACTCTTTCATTAATTACTAGTACTAACCCGTGCGATGCACGGGATGGAATTAGAATGTGAAACTTTAGACTATGGTGTGTGTTATGTACGTGGTATAATTAGTAATTACACCTATTTATATAATTAAAAGTGGTACATAAGAACCGTTAATATGGGTGATGTTTGTATATGAGTGATCTTATCTCATTAGGCAACTAAATAATCATTTGTAAATAATTTACATAGAAATATTTGACCGAAATAGAATTTATTAGAAATAAATATTTAAATATTTTTATTTAATTCATAATTTCAATAAGTTCAAGATATGTTTTAAATTAAGAGTACTTATCAATTAGTTGATTTGAGATGTGTCAAAATTATTAGTACTTATCTCATAACCCATAATAGTAGGCACGCATGAATTGAAAACATTCAATAAGAGCCGTGACCTAAAAAAAATTTTCGGCCGTATTTGTACTTATCTCATATTTAATCCATAATTTCAAATAGTTCAAGATATGTTTTAAATTAAGAGTACTTATCTATTAAATTAGAGATGTTGTCAAAATTATTAATACTTATCTTATAACCCATAATAGTAGGCACGCATGAATTGAAAACATTCAATAAGTGATCACGTGCTATCCAAATCTTCGATGCCATTCAAATGTGATCGTCAAATTGATATCTATTAATATATAATAAGAATTAACTTAATTCACTTTTAGTAATCTTTTCCCGCCAAAAACATTAATTATTGCTTAAATATAGTAACTCTTTCATTAATTATTCAATAATTATTGCCAATAAGTTGAGGTTACACATGTTTTTATGGTAAAGAACTTGACAACAGAATCAAGTCATATCCGAATTGAACACAAATTATAAAATGATGGATTATGGATATGATTATCTATTAAACATGCCACAGTTAATTCTTTAGCATATTGTTAATATTGTTTTTCTTCTTTTATTGATTGAATAATGTGCTCTATGTTAGAAAAAAAAATTTAACTAAATCCGAAAACATTTCAAAATACAAATTAACGAACAAAAACAATAGAAATAGTTTATAATTAGATTTTGTTTTTTTTTTTTTTTCAAATGCTGATTAGGGTCAGACAACTAAAACTTTTTTCAATACATTTACATTCTTTTATAACCAAATCTATTAATATATAATAAGGATTAACATAATTCACTTTTAGAAACACTTTCCTGTCAATTTCATTAATTATTGTCTAAAAATAGTAAATTAACAAAAAATTATGTAATTAATGTACATAATCTTTTTAGTCAAATATTTATGGTTATTACCTTTATTAGTTGAATTTAAATTTAGGATGATTTAGTTTTATGGAAACAAATATGGGGGTATATAGAAAATTTCGAAATCCTTAGTTTAAATATATAGACTTGATTAAGCAATTATAGAGAATTAATCCTTAATCTTTATATCTATATTATATTTCATGTATCGAGTAAAACATAATAAATTAATACTTATGTTATTTTCCATACATCTTTTTGTTGGCATAGTAGAGTTGCAAGATTATCTTGTTGTTCGTAGACGAGATAACCAAATACAAAAATATAAATAACATTTATGTGCTGCTAAAAAATATTTTGGACAAAATGTAAAAATGACTTTTAGAAAATACTTAATTAATTTATGGTATAAAGTTGACAAAATTAATAAATCTAATTTTGGTATAAAATTGATGATTTTATTTTAACTATCTGATAGCCATTTTTATTTTTCCATAGAAAAGTGTTGTTAATAATAAATGTCCGATTTTGTGGTATAAAGTGGGTGATTTATTTTTTGTACGAAATGTTCGAATTTAAATAGTATGAATTTTATTTAGAATGGATAGAAGTATATTTGAAATTATTTTAAACAAAATAAGAGCATTTACAATGCATAAATGTTTTTATCACATAAATTTTGACAAATGTCAATTGTTTATATGGATTGTGAACCACATAAGATATTTGTTAACTTCACAACTATATACCTAAAAAATTATCTGCATGCACAATGTGATTAAACATAATATTGTCAATTAGCAAAAATAAAAATAAAATATAAACAAGAAACAAAAAATAAATTAATAATTAGATATTTTTTAAAAAGATATTCCATAATATTTGATTAAACACTAAATCCGACTATTTGGAATTAATTATATTTAAAAGCAGTATTATTATGGAACCAAATATTATGGAATATCTTTTTAAAAATAGTACAATTATGATATCAAGATATTTAACCACGATTCAATCTTTTTTAATTCAATCCATATCTCTTTTTAAACTTATCAATTTATTTTAGTATAATGGCCTCGTTTGTAAGATAGCGGATTGAAGATAAATTAGCTGATTGGACTTAATTGAGAGGTTTGACCCGTCAAATTCGCTATTGAGCATGTTTGGTAAATAGCTTATTTGATAAGCTTTTTGGCTCCAAAACTCTAATTTAAAAAAAGCTCATTATGACAGCTTTTTGGGATAGAGGATTCACAAAAATCATTTATTTGAAATTTTTGAGGTTGTATTATTTATTTTACAATCTACATTGGTTTATGGTGCTAATAAATAATAATATGTCATCCATATGATTAATTTATCTAGAAAAATGTAAAATTTATAACTTCTTCATCAAGTGTTAGTAAATTTTAAGAAAATATATATATGTATTTATAAATTACCAACTAAATAATATCAAATGTTTTAATATATTATTATTAAAAGATTACACCCTAAATAATAAAATGCCATTATTGGTCATTTTGTAATGTCAAACAATTATAAGCTTTCAGCTATTTACCAAACACTTATTTAAAAACCGCTAATGCAATCCGCTGGTCAAATCAGCTAATATAATCCGCTATCCGCTGATACAATCCGCTATCCGCTATCCGCTGATCACCAAACAAGGCCAATATAAATTTACCGTAAAAATGAGAGTTGGACTTTACAATAATTACAGTATCAATATTAACAATATAAATGCTAAATAAAATTTAATTATTTGGACTGTACACTTTATTATATACATATAATTAAATCGTCTATTTGGACTTTAAATATTTAATTTTTTTCATATATAGTTATGCAATATATGCAACTTAACTAAAAGTAAAAAATATTCTAAGACTATATTTATCCACAACCCAACCCAACCCAACCTACTAATAAAAAATTTATTCTCTCTTTCACCTACAGAACCTAACTTTTTTAACAACCTACATATCTTTATCCCCAACCTAACCTAACCCAATATAATATTTATTTTATTTTTATTTATATATTTATTTATTAACTATTATCTGCAATAATTTTTTTGATATTGTTTTATCTACAATCCAACCAAATATAATAATTCCAATTGTGTTCCAAAACATATCAAGAGTGGTCTCTATTTGTAAAGAATACAAAAATACGAATTTTAATATTTTTTATTTAATTTTTTAATATAAAATAATATCAATAATTTGAGTTATACTTATCTTATTATTTAAATTTATAGTAGACCAATAGAAATGAGACAAGTGTCCCATTTCTCTCTCCCTTTTATCCAAAAGCATGAAAAAAAAAAGGTAGCAGCGACAACCTTTTATTCAAAAGCATGAAAAAAAAGGGTAGCAGCGGCCGGTTGCGACCCAAGATCACATTGTGACATGGGTCGCCCAAATTCTTTCATTTTTTTTTATATTTTTTTTTTGTCTTTTTCATGGTGACCCAACCTATTGAGACACCAATAAGGATAGTCTAAAGATTTCATTTCAATCATGGTAACATGTTTTTTAAAATTGCTAATCCACTACTCAAGTAAACATCTTTTTGTTATAAAATACGATTTTCTTTTTATCATTTTGAATCATTTTCTTATCACTTTTTTTATGAAACATATTTTTTATTTAAAAACCGTGATTTACATGTCCTCCGATTCATTTAGTTACTTTTTATCTACAAATGATAAAATATCGTTGTTGTTTCTTTTAAACGTAGTTATTTTTATAAATATGTTTTACAAAAGATACAACCAAAATTCCAAATCTCTATTACAACATAACAAAACAAAATTGTTCTCAATTTTTGAAATGAATTAGCATAAAAAATTAGAATGATTGACAAAAAAAAATAAAAATTGATATACTTAAAATCCAAACTTTAACTTTAAGGTAATAATTTTCTTTATACTCGAT